TCGAGCTTGTTTCGAAAGTTCTTGCCTACCAGCAAACTGCTGCAGAGTGATTTCGGAGAGAAACCTGCTGGTTTAAGGTCATGCGCCGGGACATCTCAGGAGCAGAGGGCCACGAAAGATCGACCCACACAGCAGCAGCTACTTGGCAGAGTCAGACAACGCGATAAATTTGCTATGCGTTTAAACCAGAAATCCTCCTGCGCAAGCTCGTTACAAATTGCAGCTTCGGATGGCTTTGGAAGCGCATGAATACAGTTTGTATTGTCTTAGTCAGAGTCAGTGAAGCTTGGCTGTCGCAGGCGCTACAGCCTAATTGAGTGAAAGGATGTGCTGCAACAGGGCAAACCCTTACTCCGCTCCCTATACGACTCCCCATGCTTTCAGCAAGACATGCACGGGAGAGCGAGAAAGCCGCATCTTTGCCCCGACGGTCTCGCCAGGTCCGCCAGCAGACGCTGAGCCTGCAACAGGTCTGAAGTGAGGATTTTATGTGTCTTGAGACAGTTTCCTGCAAACAGGGTCTTCCATGCTCACCCAAACCGACTGCAGGAGCGGGTCGTTCCCAAGTAAGAGAGATTGCAGTCTTCTCTTGTGCCTATTTCCGATTTCCATCGCTAGCTCTTGTGGCATAGTGCACATGTGCTTATAACAACATCACAAGTCTGCTGCAGCCAGACATGCAGCTAGAGATTCCGGGGATTCCAGGGAAGAACGCCAGTGCAGTTTTCTTTTTTTCAGATTGCTCCAGCTCAGGAATGCTGGACCGCCCAGCCTCAGTAGTGTAGAGGTCAAGGCGCGAAGGGGAAAGCGGGGAGTCCCTGAGCGAAGTTTTCTGGCTTTGTCACAATGTGTTGCCAAGTTCTCAGCCTGGGGCCGTTCCCAAGACGCCGTGCGCCAGGTAGCGCGGAAATTTCAGAAAAGAGCCCACCATGCGCTGTCCGGCGTAGGCGATGAGGAGACCGAGGCGAGGGACTGTGAATCAAGAACTAGCCTAGGCCTAGGTTGGCATCCGCTACGTGCATTCTGAAGTTCACGAGCATTTGGGTGATGCGATGTCGATGCAAGGACGAGCTCGCAGAAACAACCCTTTCTCCTGAGCTGGGCGAGGCCGGCACCAAAAGACGCAGAAAATATTTGAGCTGAGACAAAGACCCGGGGCTCTATGGTTTATATAGAATTAACACAATTTATCGGTGTGCACAGATCATGGGAAAACGACAAGAGTAAATAATACGGTAACGTAGTAGTTTATGTTATTTCATGGGAAAGCATACGTAAGAGTAAACAACTTGATAACGTGTTAAATGGATAGAAGGCTGCCCTCCAGGTTTTTGGCGCCGCTCATTTGAGATTCAGGATTTAGTTTCGGCTGTGCCCGGTGGATCTTGCAGTGATTTTTTGGGGTTTTGGCAGAGGTTGAGAAGCTTCAGCGCAATCCTCAACTCAGGCTTGGTGCCTAATGCGGGGTGATGGCTTGGTAAGCGAATGTCATCCTGCTCATCACCCATCTCCATGGCTAGACATATCCGGCGCCAGGACATAGAAGTGCCAGAGACGACGCAGCATCACAGCCGCACTGAGAGTTGCAGGCGTACACATGCGGTTCATGCTACTGGTCAAGGTCTACCAGGTACATGTCAGCAGCCAGCGGAGGCTCAATCGCTGAAGCCATAACTCAATTTGAGGGATGTTGCAGCTACAGCAGGTTGTATATGGTTGTTTCAGGAAACACGGGGAGACAGGCTCACAGTCCGACTTTACACGGTATGATTCCGGAATTGAATAGTAATTCGCCCTCTGTTCCGGTGCTACCAAACTGCTCAGGACTTCAGCGCCAGAGGAAACGACGCTAGCGTCAAGCACGTCAGCCGCAGAGGCCGCGCAAAAGAAATCTCTCAAGAGCCCATACCGAGCACTCCTTCAAGTACAAAATCCGTTCAAAAGATGAGAGCAAACAACTTGTGACATGCCTCGGAGGTTTTTGGGCTTCCACTATGGTCATCAAACTAATTTTGGGACCTTTCCAGGAGGCCTTGGACACCTCCGAGGCGCCGACAGAGGCCAAAGCTGAACAGTTGTGGGGTTTCGGGTGCGGCACCGAATTGACAGTATTTGAAAGACAGAACTTGTCAAAACTTCGTGGCTTGAGTGTTGCTGCGACTGTTCTCGAGCTCAGACTTCTGCGCCTTCCTCGACACCCCGTACCAGAAAGGGCTTGCACGAGAGCTTCAAACTTCCAAAAAACAGTCTTCTGTTCCTTGCATGCTTGAAGCATGCAGGAAGAGACCTCAGAGTCCATGGAGACTACGTTGGAGGAATCCACCTCTGAAGAGGAGGGGACTTTCGAAGCTTTTGCTTGCTGATCGGATGTCGAATCACAGGTTGCCCCTTGGATTTGCTGCATGCGGCAAGTCCAGAGCATTTGACCGCGGCGGGTGTCGACAGGAGCTTGAGTCAACCACCAGCAAGTCCACCACCAAGACAGCTGGCAGGACTGGTCAGATGCTGGGCAAGAGAGTGCCGGCTACAGTACTACAACAGCTCTGCAGGGATCAGCTTGACCGGCGCAAGAACCCAAATTTGCTGCCTTTGCCTCTACAGTAGCCAGGCAATGTAGAATTTTGTGCTCTTGTTGGTAGCGATGCGAACAACACGTGACTGCAGGAACACTACGACGCTGACCACTACAGCTGCCACCAACACAACAAGCAGACCTCGAACGACTTCCAGCACCAAGCCCAGTACCACGACCACCAAGAAGACAACAACTAGCACCACTACAAAAACCACCGCCAAGAGCACAGCCACAAAGAGCACTACCACGGAGACAACCACCAAGAAGAGCACGACAACAAAGAGCACGACAACAAGGACCACAAGCCGAACTACCACTACCCGGAAGAGCACTACGCACAGAACAACGACGACAAGCCGCAAGACCTCTCCCGTAACTACCCGTACGACTACAACGAGACATGTGGAGGTTGGCGGTGTTTCTTCCTAGCCCAGTGAACTAGCGTATTTCCCTTCCATGATTGTTTGATACGGACACAGACGATCCGACGCACCTCCACCTCACCTGTTCGTGGTGTCTATGAGTAAGAGCTGCGTAGGCAACGTGCTTAGAGAGTGCAACCGTGCAGTTTCTTTGTGCATCTGAAGGTGGTGCAGCTGCCGACTGCAGCGCATGCAGCCCCGGCAGCGCCTGCCTCTCCAGCACCTGTCCCTCCATCACCTGGAGCTGCGGCCCCAATCGCAGCAGTGCCAGCACCTGCAGCTCCAGCTCCCGCGCCTTCGACCACATCTGCGCCCAGCTTTTTTTACCTTCAGGCGGGAGCTTAAAGAGATATGACAAATCCAGCAAACTCGTGCTAGACATTGGCATGCGAAGGCGTTGGAGGTTGCCGAAGCAGCTGCGCATAAAGCTGCTGATGCTGGTCTTGCGCCCACGGAACGTGCGGCACACGCTGGAGAGGCCCTGCTGGTTCGGAAATGTTCATGAATTTGGAGATGGCAGGGGTTGAATTGCATACGGCTCTTTCAGATGCACACACCAGGGTGTGCGATATAGGTTTGACAAGGGCATTCAATCAAAGGGACTTCGATAGCATCCATTCTGTGGTGCCTCTAAGTTGTCTGCTCTGACGTATGGTATGGAAGCAGATCCAACTGAACAACAAGGAGGCAAGGAGAAAGGCTGCACGCACTCCCAGCACGTTCCATACATGGGTCGGTCAGAGCCCGAAAGCCAACACTGAAATGTGGAATCAAGGTAAGCTAACATTCATAAAGCTTGCGCACTAGCAGCTACTGCACTGCAGAAAAGCGTCAGATCATACAAGAGCTCCGCTGCAAAGCGCTTCCCGCTATGTTCCGTTATTAGATGTTATTAGGTTAAGTTCGCATAGCTAAATAGCAACGTATCTCTCTCAGCCAGGCCGCTTTTGACAGCGCCCAATCTTCCGACCTGCCAGACTTGGAGGATCCCACACGACTTGTGTTTGTAAAGAGACTTAGGGAGTCAGGGTCTCAAGGTCCACCTTCCGGAAGAATGTGATTCATGCTGTGTTGGTGGCGGCTCATGGCAAAGTTGATTACTCCTTTGAAAGATTGGTCGACAAGAATGTCAAGATCAACAACATGTCGTGGGGGTGTGTTACCTTGCAGCGCTATGGGGACATACCTACTGCATTTTATCAAGGCAAGGTGACCACATGTATTCTGTCGGAGCCCGTAGCCTTTTCAGCGTTTGCAAAGGCATGTTTGGCTGTCCAGCCAGACTGCACCTGAGGCCAGTAGCCCTCACCCTCAGTCTCTGAGATCAGAAAAACTGCAAGTCCCGGTCTCATGTGTGTGCAGTGTGTGCGGGCAGCGGGCACTGCAGCCGCCGCGGCTGCGCATGCTGCGGAGCTACCTGCCGAAGAGCAGGCGAGGAATTTTGAACACCATCCATTCGACTTGCAACTCCATCTACTTCGAACCTGAATTGGCTACAAGGTTGACTTCAGCTTATGTGCCTTCTTGCCTTGTAGACAATCCAGCCACTGCAGACCCACGAATGGCTTCGTCTAGAAGCCACTTGTTATTCTAGAGCCATAAGGCAGAATAACCTGTGTTGTCAACCGCTTGGCTAGAGCAGCTCAAGATCCTGCAACGTATCGTGCAGCCAGAGGCCGTGAAAGATGTAGCACGTAGCATGTAGACCGTTGCATGTTTGGCATCTACTGTTGTGCTTCCAAGCAGCGCTCAGCTGTCAATCATGATGGTTGGGAAATCTAGTTTTGCGCTGGGTTTGCTGGATTCTCCACGTGGGTTTAGCAGTATGGCATTTCAGGATTTGATGTTTGAGATGGTGGGGCCAGGGTTCCAGGCATAAGGCTTCTGACATGATGGTAAGGGCTGTTAGTCTTTGAGCTTTCGGATCTGATAGCACGACAGAACCTGCATACAAGAAATTGTCCGTGGCAAGCTGGCATCATCGGCCTCTTCACGTCCATCAGGTGAGAAGCGCAGTCCTCGCCGCAGAAGCTGCAGCGCAGAAGGTCGCTTAGGATGGTCCAAGTAGCCTTGCGGGAAGCCTGTAGCAACGATGCACTAAAACTTGGATCCTCCAGCTGCAGATTCCCCTGCACTGCACGTCCATTCAGTTAATTTTTGTTGTAGCCCTTTTTCAAAACTCGTTTGCAGATAAAGACACCAAGTAGCGACCAAGGTTGCCTAAGCGTATTGCTGAAGGACACATATCTATAGGTGGGAGACTTGTGGAGTGTTTGCATCCTGGCCAGGGTGGCAGAATGATGGTTTGACTCATGCACCGGGCTAGGTGATGAAAGGGTTCATGTCTAGGTCCAGGCCAGTGTGGCCATTGTTTTTCCCGCTGCGCGTACGTCAGCTTCACACGGCGGGGGCCGTACGATTTTGAGCCCCGAACACGCGACCAGTGCCAGGCAGGCCTCCCCGCAGACAAGGAGGCCACAGCCGCAGCCAAGGCACACCGGGAGATCCAAGAGTTCTTCCAAAGTCTGTTGTGTGCTCCCACGTCAAAATTCAATGGAGGTCAGGCTCCGAGTTCTCACAGCCTTGCAGGGGCTCGGACCTTTCAGCCTGACATGTTAGACGCCTCCTTTTCTGCTCTAATCTTTGTGCATACGCCTCTCATTTAAACCATGCTTCTGGATCCTCATTTGCGTGATAAGTTTGGCATGATGGTTTACTTGTGGCATCAGACCACTTGATTGCATTGCCATTGAAGCTGAAGGAGGGTCACTGCGACTAGCTATGGGGCCTGAAAGGCCCCCAAATTGGAGGTAACGGGAACTTCAGTGTCTATGGCATAGACAGTTTAATCTCATGAAGGCCGAACACCACATGCCTGGAATAGTGGCTTAGACTAAGCAGCAATTTCAGGTATGCAATCCTGGCAACGGTGCGATTTCCTCCGTGTTGCAATGACGATGTCACCCAGAACAGCACATGCTCATCATATTCATCGGTTTGATGTCGTTTGCGCCCTGAACCCACAAAGTTTCCCTGGAGGCAGCGCTGGCGGCAGCCAAGGTAACAGGCCTGCCAGTCGAGGCTTGGGGCTGGGGCAGGGAAGACAGGCTTTTTGAAGAGTCAAGCGCAGCAACACAAATCTGAGTTGGATTGCAGCTTCCGAAACGTAACTCATGATTCCTCCAGCCTTAAGTGTGTTGCTACAAACCCTTAAGATGACAGTTGACTATTCACTGCGAGTTCCTCTGCTGACCGGCTGATGACCCTCTATAAGCCACAGATGCTGTTTTGCAAGGCAACCTGCAAGTCTGAGAAGGGGAGTGCTACGCTTTGTCATGCAGTCCAGGAGCAAGCAGCACTGGCTGGCCGTGTCGTTGCGTCGGTGCGGGAGAGTCTACAGAAGGCTCTTGCTGCGAAGATCAAGGACTCGGGGAAAAGGCTTTAGCAGTGCCTTCAGGTTTGAATGCGGTCGCTATGTCCATGTGTTCAGACTTCCCAAAATCTGGATCTGCATAAATTCGAACTGAGTCGTGCTCAACACGCTGCAGAAGATGGTGCTGTTGTGTGGATGATTGTGGATGCATAGAATTTCCAAAGGTTCGGCATCATTTCGAGCTTGGCACTTTTTCTGCCGCGGTGCTTCGAATTACGATAAAGATACAGTGCGAACTTCTTCTCATGGGCGTGATTTGGAAGTCATGATCCACAAGTTCTTTAGGGGAGAGCTGCCGCAGCACATGCAAATGCATGTAATGTAAAGGGGATCACCATGCACAGCAGAGGGTGTGTAATGGAAGATACAGCTGAAGATCTATGTTGTCTGCCTGAGGAGATCCACCGCAAGGTTTTGGCAGCCAAGGTTACGCCAGCACCCAGCGCAAAGTGCCTCGGTCATAAATCTGTCAGTTGATGGTTCCTGATGTTTCGTGCAAGTGGCTTCGCGTGCGTTCACGCTGCTGAAGCTGTCAAGGGCTTTCCAAAACAATGCCGTACCTCATGGTACGGTTGAGGTGTGTCTCCATTTCACCAAACCCTGTCGATTTCCTACTTTTGTTGTGTACTCGTTCGTTCACAGAGCTTGCAGCATGCATTTGGTAAGTTCCTGCCGGATGTCGGGAAATCTCCGACTACTAATTACGTGCAATCTGGAAGAGGTTGCACATGTCAGCGCTCAGCTGAGGATGTCGGATGCCGAAGCTGTTGCCGCCGCTGTGGCAGCGGCCCGGAGTGCCATGGATGCCGCGCAGGAGTTCATAAGAGATCATGCTGGCCTCAGGATCCAAGAAGAGATGTACGGACTGTAGAGGTATAGCGCTGTCATTCACAGGTTTGTAGTTTTCAGCTGCAGGCTAAGCATCAGAACAAGAAGTGCTTGGGGTGGGATGGTGTTCGATTTTGGGTAAATGATACGCAACATGGTTTGTGGATGTTGCATTTGTTGAGCGTGCATTGTTGTCTAGGCCGGGTACTTTGGGGCGATATCTCTTCAGGTTGGCTTGTTGGGAGAGATGTTGAGGAATGAAGGACGGTAACAGAGAGGTCGATGCACGTGAAAAGTCATTGTTGTGACTGGCACTCTCACTTTGGCTCGGCAGCACGCCATCGTAGAAATCATCTCTGCAGGCTGCAGACGCTGCGGCGCGCGAAGCAGTAGCCACGGCGGCCTCGGTGCCTCGAACCAAAAGTTCTTGTCTGCTACGGTTTTTCTAACATATTCGTCTTATTGTTCTTCCAGAAGGAAGTACTCGAACAGCGGATTCCAGAGGCTTCCCGCCGCTGTTGGCAGCAGTCCTGGCTAGCTTTCAGACGAAGACAAACTTTAAAGGTCTCATCAAGTAAATGTTAGAGACGTCCTTGCTTCGTGTTGTCGCTGTTCGAGATGAGGAAGGCCGAAGAGCCATCTTGTGAAAAATCATACAGAAATCATACCCTCAAGCTTGATGGTCACATTTTTCTGCGTGGCCAGTGGCCTTCTGTCTCCGCCAACAGCCCTCAAAGACTGCTCTGTCTCTCATGCTAGAAAAATGTCGAGGCCACAGCCGCATGAAGACCTTGCGGAATATGTTCCAAGCCCTTGTTTGCAATTGGATTCCCAGGCCAACGGCACGTTTAACATCAGCGCACACCTGGGCAACGTGCCAGCGGCTGCCAGGGTGGTGTCAGCGGGAGGTGGCGAAAGCCCAAGCAGTGGAGTCAGCGCAGGACTCGGGCTCCAGCTGTAGCGGTATACTTGAAACTCAGAGGTGGCTAGGTTCATTTGGAAGATTTATCCATCAACCAGGCTCTGTTGGGCCATTGGATGAATTTAATGTAAGTAAGATGGTGATGTCCCGACCTGTTGCGTTTGGGGTTTACGGCTGAAACGTTAAGCCATGCCAAGCCAAGCTTCCCGCCCGACATCTTGATTGAATGCCGTGGAGCTCCTGCCGCGCGATTTGCAAGCCCTCCCAAGACCGTTTGAGGGCCCAGATTTCCAGCATAGTCTGCAGCAGGCTAGTTCCCAAATGGAACAGACAGCCCCAACCTGCAACATGCGTGATAATATTTAGGTTCCATCATTGGGAAGTTGTGGAGGTAGGAAGACTAAGTGGTGCTTGAAAGTGTGGCCGGGTAGCCGACAAAATGCCTACGTCATGACGGTCTTGTAGAAGGCTGCCCCGCTGGTTGCCAGGCCCCACTCCGGGCTTTGCACCAACAGCTGCATCAGCTGATGCAAAGCCAGACCGCATCAGCTCCATAGAGGCAGTTGGGCTTCAGGTTGTTTCAGGAGGATTCAGGAGGTGTGGTAGCGTGCCGGCACGTTCTGTGATGGCAATCAAAAGCACAGTTTTGCCAAGGGATACATTATTTACTACTTGCCCGTGACTGCCAAGATCCCATCCCTCAAGAATTAGGCGAATTCAATTCCTCAAGCACTCGCTGCATCAACAGGGTCAAGAAGAAGGAAGAACTTGGGGCCACCCCCCTGCAGGCAGTGATCGTATAAGGGAACAGTACTGAGATACTCTGGACTTAGGATCTATATATACCATCGACCACAAAAATCATGCCCAGAGTCGTTCAGAGTTATTTCAAGAGACCTGCTGATCATCAAATGGATGTACACTCGTAGATCTGCCAGTGGTGCTAGAAGATTCTAGCTTGGACACATGCAATGCAGTTCAGGGGTTGAGCCATGTTGGCAGCATGAAAATCTGTCTTATTCCCTAGGTTCTCGCTTGTCCGTGCTGCCATGTCAGCGTGTCTGTTTTCTGTCCATATTATCCTTGACTATCTTAATCTCCTCCCCTTTTACGCGCGTTTTTGTTGTACGTGCTGAGTTCAGGGGCTCAAAGTCCTGGAAGTGCATTTGCGTACGTCTAAAAAGGGCCAGATGAATCGAGCCTTATCGTGAATGGAGGTCACCGGGAACCAAAATGAGGAATCAAATGGAACTGCAAGGATCTTCTTGATGTCCTAGGTTGCTTCAACTGTTTTTGCGTAGTTGTGTAGAGAAAACGGTGTTAACGCATCTGATAGATTCAGGGTCCCCTCGATTGCTTAGATTGGTTTACTTGATGCAGCTTTTCATCAAGGAGCTTACAGTATTTCATGTACAAGATTCGTTGCGAACGAGCTTACATAACAGAGCCGAGAGAAAGAGAATCCACTTGCAATTTGGGATCTCTTTCATTTCCTAGATGTCATTAGATTTTCAGTATTTACTAGAATTTCTAACAGAATTGGGGTCCGCCTTTGTTTACCAAACGAAAGCTGATTACACAATCAGCTATGTTTGAGGGCGAACTGTTGTACTTCTTCAAGATGGGATCTCTTTTTTCTAACGTCTTGAAGAACCCATAACACATGGTCTACTCTTAAAACGGATATGTTTCAATCTAACTCTTGCGATGAATATCCGCCGGAATGACGATAGGGACTGTTTTCCATTTACGTGGTCGACGCGCCCTTAATATGTTAGATGGAAGCGATCAGATGGCACTACAGAAAATGGGTCCTGTTGTGAATTCATGTTGCTTGAGCGTGCCCACGTCAAGTGACAAGTGTTTCCTGTCTTTGTCCGTTCCATTTCCAGGCCATCTTGCGAAAGCTCTCCGAGATGGTGGCATCGTGAGCTTCCCTTGCAACACCGGGCTCTGTAGCATTTGGGTGCATTCCATGGTGATATTACCAAAAAGGGAGTTCTGCGATAAATTGTTGCAAGTAGATGAGAGATCCTGCTCCACGGGCACGCATGGCCCCACTGTACATGGATTGCTCGAAGTGCAAGGTACTCTTCGCAAATCGACGCTTCCAACAGCAGGCTCGACAAGGTGGAGGACGTAGAGCGAGACTTGGATGCACCGATAGATTCAACAAGGTTAGAAGATGAGTCTACGTTCTGCTCCGCAGAGTTTGGGAGAAGCCTCGAGAAGTGAAGTGCTAGCTGCTAGCATTTGTATGGGCATGGGTTGCAGTAAGGTGACTGCCAGTTGCTTAGCCGGAGCAAAATCTCAGATTCGCCTGTCATCCTTGAGTGCCATCGCTCCATGAGGTCGAGGACTTGACATACCTTCTTGGGTCTTGTGGATGCTTCTGCCTGTATCATTGAAACCTGCTTCGATCGTCAGTGTTATGAAACCGAGACCTACATCATCCATGACAGTCTGCTTACAGCCCAAGAGCTTGTTTTGCTTTGTGCGTCGCGGTAAGATGGCAGGCTGCAGCGTGGGGCTTTTCAGGTGTCCAGGTCCTACTCTCAATCATGAACGATAGAACCTTTGCATGTATGTATGCTGAATTGGTACGATCTGAAGGTGTCGACCCTCAACAGGCGCTCAATCCTAAACAGGAGAATATACTTGAGTTTGGGGCGCATTGTTTGAAGTTCAGGGCTTGGGCTATCATTGTTCAGTTCAATTCGGGCCTTGGCACCTTCAGTTTGTGTGATAGGGGTCCAGCCAACGACAAACAGCAACGCATTCATGACGGAGGATGTGAACCCCGACGCGTGAGCTGCAGGGCAACGACCCTACAGGATTCTGCAAAGGCAAAGCTGTATCTATGCTACAAAGAACTCCAAAGGCCTCCCCAGGCAAATGCTTGGGCCTCTTGCCTGAAGCAGTTGACGTCCCATAAGCCTCAGCTACTCTGCAGAAGAACCTTTGATGGCCTCAGAATTCCACTTTGTTTAAGATTCAAGACAATACGCCACGAACTCCACCAGGACCTTTAGTTTGAAGCAGCACTGGAAAGTTCGAAATTGCAACCCACCGCAACCTCATGCTGTAGCTTCAAGGCGTCCTGGTGAAAGAGCTCGGCTCAGTCCACGCAGGCTCCCAACAGTGATCTGAGTTTTTGGGATTGTCGGAGTGGCTTGAAGTACCTTGCCATTGGGGTGGAAATGCCAGAGTTGAGGGACACCGACAACCACTAGTTGCCCGAAGCGCCGTGCTCGTATATGTTTCTGCCAGCCCCGGACCTAAATAGAGAGAACAATGCTTAATGGCCTCGTGCAGACGGGAGGCCAGACATATTCGGGAGGAACCCCCATGATCCCAGAACCCCAAATACCCATATTGTCCTCAAATGCCCTCTGTTTTGAGACCCCCCACATGTTGACTGCAACAGGGCATGAGGTGTCTGAGTCCTGAAAGGCGGGCTAAGAGAGCTTCTTGGAATTGATCCTCCGAAGGCTTGCAGAGCTTCAACGCCAGCAGCCAAGACACGGCCACCCAGGAAGTACCGGGCATGCCAGAGGCTGCAACTCTGGGCTCTTCAGGTATCCTCAGGTTTTCAGGGTGCAGTGGATGTGACTTGAGATTCACGGTGTCTCTTCCTTTCTCAGGCTGGAGCAGGCGAATCCGTGTTTCAGTTTTCCCGTAGCCAGTCTTTTGGTCCAGCAGGAAGGGGCGCTGTGACAGTTACCAAGTTTTGCGTGTGCTCTGCGGAACCGCACCCCCGAAAGGGCCGCCAAGATTCAAGATAACCAATGGCACATGCATGAGTGCGCGCTATGTTTGTCCCATACACGTTGCCGTCATGATGACCCAACTACAGACCCAGGGTCACAAAGCCGAAGCAACAGCTTTTCGGGCTCGGCAACCCTGCGGGGTGCACCTGCCACGCGAAGTGCTTTAAAGCCTGTACAGCAGTATCACAAGATCGGTAGCGGTACAGATCAGGGTATCTGAAAATCATGTCCACGTTCCAAAAAGTGGCACACCTGCTGAGTGAGGCTTCGGGTGAGAGCATTCCAAACGGTATAGCCATCCCCCTGCTAGACGAAGTGCCGGATGTAACCCGCGAAATCTCTTGCGCCTCCCCTATCAAGACATGCAGACACCAGCTCGTGATTCGATGACACCTTTAACCTTAAACTTCTTACTGCGGCAGCCATGTGCTGCAGCGCTTGCTGGATGTCCGGGGAAGACTTACATTCGACTAGCAACCCTCTGCAGGAACCCATAGGAACCCCATGGCATACCTAGCAATCTGCGACTAGCCTCAACAAGATTGGTCCTGCTGTGAATCCTGTCCATTTGCTTTACGCACCCGCCCTTGAAGGAGGCCTTGTGCCGCTGACACTGGATGGGACACATGCTTCGAACCAGAATTTAGAAGGCTATGTCACACACCACCATTGGAGGCACCAAATGAAACCCACTTTGGAATTCTTTTGGAAAATGCTATTAGAAGATTTAGAAGACTTCCCGTTGTAACAGTATTCACTTCGGGAAAGCCGTTTTTTGTTCTTATCCTGCTTGTTACGGTAGCTTTCTTAGCCCAAGACCAAGGCAAGGGAATACCTCTCTGGCTCAGATCAGAGAGCCAAGAAGCCATCACTCCACAGAACCTATTCACTCCAACAGAAGGACCTGCAGAAGAAATCTTTCTGATAAGTGCAGGAAGATCTCCTGAGATCCAGCTCGCAATCCAAAAGCCTTCATGCCTTATGTGTTAACCTCCGCCTTTACTTACAGGCAGCAGCAGGCGAGCATGAGATCCCCTTCGAGCAACCGGGCCGGGCGAAGATTCCTCCACACATGCACCTGGGACTTTTGCATCAGGGTGCCGGGTACTTCATCCGGCACAGTAGAATTCTATTACGTGTGCAGTAAGTACAGTCATCTACAGCCCTAGCTGGCCTGACGAGTCTCTCGGGGAATGATGCACTGTAGACTTTGCAGCATTGGCATTGGTCCTCCGAGGAACGGGACGGGCAAGCCAAAATATTGGACGCAGCTGGGCTACATTCCGGGTTGCGGGGTCAAAGCTTTGCAAGGTCCAAGTAGCCCATGTAGGTAGGCCCTTCTCTGGGGCGGGTAGCTAGTCTTCAGCAGTAGGAAGTACTCCACACCCAAGCTTGACGTCCAGTTTCCATGCAAACTACTGTAGAGAAGCACCTGCCAACTCAGCGCCCTCAATCGGAGGTCTCTTTGACATTCTAGATTTTAGGCACATTCCTGCGGGACTGCGTCCCGAAAGCGTTGAAACATCGAACCTGGCTGCGGGGCACGTAACTGGTCGGGGTGGAACACTGCAACGCCAAGCTACGATGGCTGGCTTTGTTCCCCACCCTCACAGTGGGGTTGTTAGATTTTAAAGAAGATGCTGTACTCGCCCGACTGGAAGCAAACTTTAGTGTCCAACCACCAAGTGTCCCTGT